GATAGTATAAACAAAAATTGTTATAGGCAAAGAGATAATATAGAAACCATTGTGTGTTTTCTGTTAACTGGTTCTAAATACCCTACAATGCTTTCACCCACTTGAATGGTTTTACACTGTCTTGAAATGTTTGATGCTATAGTATATGAAGTTATATTCAAATATTTCAAGGAAAAAGACTGTGGTAACTATTATTAAGTCGGGTTATTTGGTGGTGAAGCACTAGGTTGCTGAAACTGTTATGCTTTGACCTGCATTGTTATGTTGTTATGTCCTCTTTTATCTCAATCTCTCCCTTAGGCATTAAAAATTATTTAGTTATTTTTTTATGATTTTTTAATTAAGGGGAAAAATTCAAAAAAAATTAGCAGGATATATGATAGTAACTTTTTTGATTTCCTATTAACTTGATGTGAAGTCGCGTAATACTCCCACTACCTTGTTTAGACTGATTAGACTCTGTTCCGTTCTGTATGATAGTATCTAGTTTGAGGGTATAGGCAACTACTTTGAAGGCAATAAGATTCACTATGACACCCATTCTGGTTCGACTATTATCTTCTTTTGAAGTCCTGTAATGTTGACAATGTTTAGGTTTCATCGATCTTGTTCTCTACTGTTTTGTTCAGCTTTATAATACCTAATGAGATAGACAATTCTTTTTAAGGAAGCAAGATGCATTATGGTAACCATTGTTGATAACCTTGTACTCTGTTTTTATATCATGTGCTATGTCTATCCTTGGTTTTGGCTGACAGCTTTGTTTTGTCATATTTGACTTTATTCTCTTCCAATAAAAGGAATAAGAACTATGGGAGTAATAAAACCCATAATGTGTAAATTTTGTTGTAAAAAAGAGAGAAAAAAAGTGCTCTAAAAGATACAACTGCAAGTGTGTTTAGGGGTGTTAAATAGCTGACCGTATTAATGTTTTTGGTTGGATCATTGAACACAACTGTTTGCAGTCTCATTGTTTGAATGTCCACTTTGTATGCTTTGATACTGTGAATTGAGAAACTATCTCTAAAATGATAATGTGTAATCTATTAACTGGCGATTTCTTACTGGTTTTTTTTCTTTGTTTTGCAGTTCTGTATTACGTGTACCCTTACATTGTTTTATTTTGTTCTGTTTTTTCTCTTTTTCATTTTAAATTAAAACAACTGATTTTATTGGTACATTTAGATATATATAATGACCACATTCATCATGAGGAATTTGTACCTGTACATAGTATACCTTATTTTTCTTCTGTACCCCCAATTCTCTCCCCTTCCTCTGGCCCTTCTTTCCCTTCTTATTTACAAAGCTTTGTTTCTATTTTTCTATCTGTTCTATTTTTCTCTTGTTCCTTTTTCCCTCTCTTGTTCCCTTTCCACCTGAACATTTTCTTTCAGTTTCCCAAGATCTATTATACATTTTGGTCCTTATTTACCCTGTCAGTTTCTCACACTAGAGAAACAATGTGATATTAAACATGTGTATCCAGTTTATTTCACCTACCTGTGTGGTCTCAAGGGGCATCCATTTAGCTAGAAGCCTCTCAAGTTTATCCTTGTTTATAGCAGAGTAGTACTCTATTGTATTTTTTAAAAAAGTCATTTCTTCTTTATCCATTCATCTGTTTGGGGGCATCGGACTGTTTACAAGATTTAGCTACTGTAAATTGTGCTGCCATAAGCATGGGTGTATATATATATCACTGTGCTATGATACTTCTAATTCTTGCAGGAAGATACTAAGCAGTGGAATAGCTGAGCAAAAAGAAAGCTCTACTTCCTTTTTTCGAGAAATATCCACACTAATTTCTACAGTGGTAGAACCAGATTAACACTCTCACTAACAGTGGAGAAGGGTTCATTATTCCTCCACAGCCCTGCCAGCGCTTTTATTGGTTGATTTCTTAACAAGAGCCTTTGTTTCTAGGGCAAGATGGAATCTCAGTGTTCTTTTAATTTGCATCTCTCTAAGGGTAATTGATGTTGAATTTTTAAAATATATTCATTTCTACAAGAAAATTAAAGATGTAATGGCACTACTCCTCAAACTCTATCTTGAATTGAAAGGGAAGTAATGCGCCTTTCCTTGTAGATAGGACTTACCTACTCACTCTCATTGCTGGAAGCAAGTGTTACTCTGCTACCAAAACCAGAGAAGGGTCCAATTAATAAAGAAAACGAAAGGCCCATCTTTCTAATCAACATAGTCTCAAAAGTGCTCAGTAGGGGCTGGGATTTAGCTCAGCGGCATAAGCACCTGCCTTATAAGCAGGCAGTCGTGAGTTTGATCCCCAGTACCGATAAAAAGGGAAAAAAAAGTCCTCAGGAAGACCCACTGTATCCCCACAAAGTCATGGTTCATCATTCAAGGCCTCAGTCATCTGTGGATTTTTCCTTAAAACCTAATTAACAGTTGTTAGCACAAAAAATCCTATTATTTTATGGAAACTGCAAACATTCTCCACAATTGTTTTTTGTGGGAATTTTTGGTTTGTTTTTTTGGTGGGAGGTTTGCAAACAGCTAGAATGAGAGCGTTATTTAGTCCTTGTTGCTTCTGGTTGGCTGCTGCCTTGTACCCCATCGGGGGCAGATGCACCAGCACTCCCGCATCCTAACAGGTTGCTGAATCATGTAGCTATCCCTACTATTCTCAGTTTTGGTTTTCTTAAAATCTAAGAGATGACACCAAAATACCCTGAACCTTCTAAGGCTTTATCAATACAGTATTGTATTACATTAAGTTACATAATTGGGAGAGACATAGCATACTCCTGGCCAAAACTATTAAAACTAGGCATCTATAGGATTCTTTCCTGGGCCAGGGATTTAGCTTAGCGGCATAAGTACCTGACTGGCAAGCTCAATGTTGTGAGTTTGATCCCGGGTACCAAAAATAGAAAAAAATAAATATATATGCTCTTTTTCTGACTGTATTTTAAAGTCATGGTTTTGCACAACTCAAAGATACACTAGTAACATCATGAATTTATCAGACCCACTACACTGGCCAGCAGAATACAGGAAATCCTCAAGAAGATGATAAAATAGGTTTTATCTGAGCAATGCAGAGACAGTTCAACATATATAAATCAACAAATATAATACATTATACTAACAAAACCAATGAAGAAAACTTCATGATCATCTCAAGAGATGCAAGAAAAGCATTTGACAAAACCCAGCATCCATTCTTAGTAAAATCTCTACAGAAAATTCACATAGTCTTTATCTCAATCTGATAAATGCAATCTATGACAAATCAATACCTAACATCATATTATATGGTTAAGAAGTGAAACCTTTTATTCCAAAAATTAAGAACAAGACAAGGATGTCCACTGTCATAACTTATTCAATATAGTTCTGGAAACATTAACCAGAATAATTACATAAGGGAAAGAATTAAAAAGGAATAAGGATAGAAAAGGAAGAAACTGTATTATCATTATTTGCTGATGATACGGTATTCTACATAGAAGAATCCCAAAGCTCCACCAAGAGGTTTCTAAATTTAATAACCAAACTCAGTAGCATAGCTGGATATAAAGTCAACATTCAAGAATCAGTTCCATACCTGTGTACAAAGAACAGACTCACTGAGAGAGAATTTAGGGAAACAACACGTTTCACAAAAGCATCTAAAGAGATAAGAAACAAAGAATCAGTCTAATGAAGGAAAAAAAGTCCTTCACATTGAAGAATATAATACTCTTAAAAAGGAGATGGAAGAGGTTATCAACAAGAGATATCAGCAAATGGTAAGATATCCCTTGTTCTTGGCTAGGAACAATGAATATAGTGAAAATGGCCATAACTCTAAAATTATTGTATAGATTTAATGCAGTCTTAATCAAAATTCCAATAGTGTATCTCACAATTAGAAAAACAATCCTAAAATTTATTTTGAGTGAAATTTTCCCCTGATTTTATTTCACCTAGTTCATTATTTGTGTGTAGAAAAGTTGTGGGTTTTAAGGTTGATTTTACATTCTGTGTCTTGCCTTTTAACTTGGAACCACATTCTTATCCTAAAGCCTTCTACTAAGGTTTCCCTGCAGCCCACTGTGCTAGATCTGGAGAAAAAGCAGTACCACGTCTAAGAGTCCACAATTTAACAGATAAGACTTATCTGTAAATAAATAGCCAATTTAGGAGACAGTAAGGGAGAAGGATTTGCTACCCCTGTGCCTCATGACACCGACGTGGCTGTACTCAATGGTTGATCTCTCTGATGCTCATACACTTAATTATAGTATGAACTTGACAGGCATTGGCAGTTTCCCCAACTTGAGACATATCAGTGGATTGCATTTTTCAAATGAATCACACTTGCTTGAATGAAAGCGATATTGATGGATGTGAGGATCTGCATTCCCTTCAGTCACCACCATTCCATGACACAGAACATGGCTTCTCTCCACTGTACTTCTCATTTGGATCCTTTCATATCTCTGCATGTTGTGTTTCTAGGAATATGACATTCAAGAGATTTGGGCCCTGTAGGAGGTTCTGGGGTTTGACCCAGCAAACCCTGTCTGTTCCTAGAAAAGAATCAGCTGCCTCCATCCTTTGTCCAGCTCACCACTCTTCTGTGTTTTTCTAGTTTTCTGTTTTTATAATGGTTTCTGTGGCTGCACCTCTCATTTACAGAAGACCCCAATAAGAAAGAGATCTCACTGAAAAATAGTCCCACACCACTCTTGTAAATTCTCAAAAGCACCAAGTAAAGTTTCCGTACCCGCAGATGTCAATTAGAAACCCACACTAGAAACAGTGCAGGAGGGTTGTGGAGGAGCCACTGGGTGCAAAGGGGACATTAGAGTGCCAGGTTCTGAGGGGAAGAAAGATTCCTGAGGAAGAAGGGCAGCAGAAATGTGAAAGGGGCACCGAGACTGTGTGTATCTCAGTGGGTGCTGAAGGGTGCTAGTAGAGGGAGTAAAAAGGTCAGGGAAGGAAGCAGTAGGGCTGAACCGGAGGCCCAACTTCTCTCCAACTGTGAGATGCACCTTTCACAGAAAGTGAAAGTGACTCAGGTGCCAGGCTTACGAGAGACAGACAGCGTGATGTAGGCAGAAAGGACTCCTGAGTCCCAGCTGGCAGAGGGGACTAGCACTGGTTATTAGCTTCCAGGAAAAGAAACCAGAGAAACAATCCTGTGACAAATCCCTCTTCCTCTACCCACAGATACTCTATCTCAAGATGTTCTGGCCTGACAGTATCACCTACCGGATCCCAGGACCCCAGCCAGCCTCTAAACTTGCTTCCAACTCCACGGAATCTCCCTTCCTCTTGCATTCGCTCCTGCAGGCTCACCAACTTGACCTACCTTCTTTACTGGCCTCCAACCCCAGGAGTTGAGGGGGACCTTTTGGCTTCCACCAGCCCCAAGACCTCCACTTACCACCTGAGAGGTCCTGCCCAGGCCAGCTATACCCTGGGAGACTACTTGGAGGCTGTCCTTGTGGCCTGGGACCACCGGGGCAAGCCCAAGACCCATGGTGGAGATCTGTTTAGGGCAAAGGTGCTGGGCTCAGAATTAAAAGCAGGGGTTCCCGGGGATGTCCAGGATCTGGAGAATGGCACATACCTTTTGTCCTTCCCCTTGCTTTGGGCTGGGAAGGCCCAGGTGCAAGTGCGACTGATCCACTCCAGTGAGGCAATTGGGGTTCTGCGCAGAATCTGGACAGAGAAACAGGCCACCGTTAGTTTTAGGAGATATTTCTGGGGAACACAAGGGCCTGAAGAAACTGTGATTTGCAATGTTGACCCTCAGTCAACTGGCACTAAAAGGGCTACCTGCCAGTACAGGGATGCAGTTTCTGGTGAGCTCTGGTTCTGTGCGCAGCCTCCTACCTTGCCCTCCAACTCTTTAGTTGGTCACTCAAGTGGGAGTTACCTAAAAGTAACCACAAAACATGATGAGAATCTACTGGCATGGTAAGAAATTCTGTGATATGTGTCAAACCCAAGACACATCCTTCCTTCTGAATCTTACCCCCGTGATCCAATGGCCTCCCACCACTAACACCATTCAGTTATTCCTATTGTCTTTCAATATATATTTTTTGAGCACCTACTATATGACAGATGCTGCTAAGCAAAACCACAGCATGGTAACCAGGTCAGGCTATAGATCCAAAGAGGTTACAAGTGAATTTAGGTTTGAAAGACCTACTCAGCGGGTGTGGTGGCACATGCCTGTAATCCTAACACTTTGAAGGCTGAGGCAGCAGTATCGTAGTGTGTTCAAAGCCAGCTTAGGCTACACAAACTGCGTAGTGAGACCGTACTTGAGAGAGAGAGAGACAGAGAAAGAGGAAGAAAGACAGAGACAGAGACAGAGACCGAGAAAGAGAAAGAGAGAGAGAAGAGAGATATTCAAGACAAATCAAACTCTCAGTGCAAAAGTAGCTTGAGCACTTTATTTAAATTCCTGTCTTCACTTAGATTTTAATTTAACTTCATTTTTATTTTGTTAAATATTTAATAACTTTAGTGGATTTAAAACTGTTATGTCCTTACCTGTAATCCCAGCACTCAGGAGACTGAGGCAGGGGGATTGCTGGGGATGAGGCCAGCCTAGGCTACAAAGTGAGTTCAAGGCCAGCTTGAACTGCACAGCGAGACCCTGTCTCAAACAGACAAAATAGAGCTGGGTTTAACTCAGTGGTATAAGTGCCTGCCTGGCAAGCACAAGGTCATGAGTTCGAACCCCAGTACACACACACACAAAGAAATCAAAATAAAATAAAACTATTATGTCCAGAATTTTTAGTAAAGTATATGGTAAATATTTAGGTCTGTCATAGTATCAAAAAAGGACTCTGTATCCTATTACACAGATTTGTAAGTATATCTTTAAGATTTATTTGTTTCTTCAATTTCTCATAGAATAGCTTTACTTTTTTCTAGCTTCTTAACTGAAAACAATTAACCCATTTATTTCAATCTTCCTTTCTATTTTTTTTAAGACAAAAAAACCAGAAAAAACAAACAAAATACACATATAACCAAAAAACCAAAAACCAAAACAACAGTGATACAGGATTTCAAGAAAGATGATAGAAATTTAACACTGTTTGTTATATTACATATTGTTTTCTTCAAAAGATTCCTCAGATTACTAGATATGGGCATGAATCAATGTCCCTTTTATGGAATAAAAATGATCAGTGCTATAAATGTCCCTCTGAATAGAGCTTTAGCTGCATTCTCCAAATTTTTTTATATGGGAGCTTCATTTTATTCCACTTTACACATCTTGTAATCTCTACAGTAATTATTTAGGAATTCTTTTTAAAGTTTTGAAATTTAAAAATGGGTATCTTTTAAAAACTCGTTTTACTATTTATTTGCATTTTGAAGTGGACATAAAACTTTTCTGGTATTGATTCTCTGAACTTTGTTTAAATTTGTTTGTGACCTGCCTGGCATGATGCTACATCCCGACATGCTGCCTGCAGCCCAGCATGTTGAAAGGCTGAGGTAGAAGTATCAAAAGTTAAAACACAGCCTGGAGAATTTAGCAACTTAGCAAGATTCAATCTTACAATTAGAACTAAAATTCAATTTTGACCCAACAATTGATGTTTTTTGTTTGTAGCCCACATTCTTTGAAAATATTTTACAGTCTATATTCCTTCTGAAAGAAGATCTGAAACTATTTGATATAGCTTGTCAATTTTAAAAATTCCAAACATCTATATTTTACTTTTTTATATCTGCTGAATCTACTAGCTTCAGACATAGACATAGTATATTGTTTATATATTTGTAGGTTTGAAAATTTCTCGATCCAGCAGTTTTCCCTTTGTATATTTCCCTTTATACATTGATATGTACATTGAGCTTTGCATTTGTTTTATGTTATTGGTTATTATTCATTCTACTTTTTTGCCTTAAATTCTAATTTTTATTGTATTAATCTTGTCAAAAGGGCCTCAAATTGCTTGATATTGGTATATCTTTTCCCATCTCATTATATTTAAAATTTTCTGTATGAAATAGCTGTAGAAAAGAATCTTAACCTGACTATGTAGCATATTCTTAAGGATAGCTAAGTAGATCATGGAAGGAACTAGATCCCTAAGTGTAACTGACTTTATATAAATAGAATAGGCATTCAAATCAACAGTGAACAGATTAAATAGCCAAGAAATGGAAAACTAGATAGTCAGAACTTTGCACTATACAGAAAGATCAATGTCAGGAGGATTAAAAACTTAACTGTAGAAATCGTATCTTAACACTCTTTATGAATTGGGATTGATAAAGTATTGTTTTATTGTCATAGAGGAAAATATTGGTAAGTTGGGCTATATGTAAATAAAAACTGTCTTTGTTACAAGAAGCCATAAACATAATTTAAATCAGGCTCTTATAGATTTTGAGATGATATTAATAACACAGATAATTGATCCAAGATGAGTATCCTCAGTAAATAAAGAAACCGTACAAAACAGTAAGAAAATACGATAAAGGTCATGAGCTGGCACGCTGATGCACACCTGTACTCCCAGGACTCTGGCAGGCTGAAGAAGGAAGATTGCAAGTTTGAGTCCAGCCTGGGCACCGTAGCAATTTAGCAAGATGCTGCCAAAAAATGGGCAAAATGTATAAATAAAAATCACAGAAAAAATATGAATAGCAAATAAAATATAAGTATATATTCAGACTCATGTACAACCAGGGAAATTTAAATGAAAACCAACATATCATCTTTCAAAAACTCTTCGGGAGACAGGGTCTTGTTCAGTTTAGCAATTTTTATATTTACAAAAACTTTAAGTCTGAAAAAACAAAGGGTGATGAGGATGGGTAGAAAGAAAAAATCTCATATATCAATACCTAGTAAAGTTGAAGATGCATATAAGTTGCCACTCAACAATCTGCCTTCTAGTTGTAAACTGTAAAGAAACTTTCTTACCTGAGACCCAAGGAACACATACAAGAATGTTTATTGTAGATGTTGTGCGAGGAAAATGCTGGAAACTATCTCACAACCAATAGGAAGTAGATAATAGAATCATGAAGTTCAAATGAATAAATAACAACTATATCCTATAACAACTAAACCTTGAAAATATAAGTAATGATACACACATAATATAAAATACCTTTATCATGAAGTTTAAAAATGTTATGCAATTCTACTCTATATTTTAGATACATTATATAGCATATGTATAAAATGTGGATGAGACTATAACCACCGAATTTGCAGGAGTGACCTTATCTTTGCAGTGAATGGAATGGTAATAAAGTCGTTAGTGAGTGTCTTTGTGATACCTGTAATGACCTGCTTATTGTGCTTTTTAAAATTTAACTTTTTATTGTGAAATAATTATTGACTCACAAGAAGTTGAAAATAGTACATAAAATGATGTAACCTCCCTTCTCCAGCTTCCTTCAGCAGTAACATCTCACATATATGAAGGGAAATATCATGACAAGAAAATTAACATTAAAATTAACAAAAAAACAAACTCATTGGTACAGTTCTGTTAAATAGACTACAAATATTGTTTAGTTTTGATCAGCTTACATGTGTACCCAGGTCTCTATGTGTGTGTGTGTGTGTGTGTGTGTGTGTGTGTGTGGTCCTTCACAATAGATTTATGTAAGCACCAGCACAATCAAGATACAGGAAGCTTCCATCACCAGACAGGAAATCCCTTCTGCTGTCCCTTTTTGGCACTCCCACCCTCCAATTCCTGTCCCTTCACCAGGTGACACTATTCTATTTTCCATTTCTATACTTTTGCTACTTTTATAATATTATACAAATGGAGTTAAACAGTGTGCAGTCAGTTGTGATGGGTTTCTTTCCACTAGGCATGATACCCTTGTAACCTGCCTGAGTTATTGGATGCATCAATAATTCATTCCTTTCCCTAGCTCTCTGAGATGTCACTGTATGTGTTTAACTATTCATACTTTAAAGGACATTCAGGAGTGTTTCCAACTTTTGGCTCATTAATAAAGATCCTGTTAATATTTATACTGAGGCTTTTGTATGACAACAAATTTTCATTTCTCTGAAATAAATGCTGAGTGCAATCTTTCAATTATGCAATTGATGAATGTCCAGTTTTAGCTTTATTAGTTTTAGATTTTGTTTCTGTTTTTGCCTTTGTCTTTGTTTTTGTTTTCTGAGACAGGGTCTTATGTAGTTCATAGTGGCCTTGAACTCACTCTCTGGCCCAAGCTGTACTCAAACTCATGGTGAGCCTCCTGCTTCAGCCTCCCAAGTGCTGGGATTATAGGCATGTGCCACCACAGTCAGCAAATGTTTAGTTTTATAAGAAACTGACAAACTGTTTAACAGAATGACCTTGTCATTTTACATTCCAAGAGATCTAGTTTTTCTGCATTGTCTTGAGCACTGCTGGGCTATTATTTTTTTAAAGACAGACTTGATTTATATCTGGAAAAATGTTAACATCTAATAGAACTGGATGTAAAGTATACAGTAATTTTTAAAAACATGCATAGAAGACAGATAACAAAAGTAGACCAGTTTTTCAGGAAGTTGTCCTACATAAGAAAGGAGACATTGCTACAGCTTCAGAAAGAGTGGAGTAGCTTTGTTTAATGAAGGATGTATGACCACGTTTATATTCTGGAAAAAAAAAGAACTCGGAGGAAGAATAAATTAAATTAAATAATTACATTACCAATCTCTGGTAGCTCATCCAAAAGAACAGTTTGTGCTTTCATTGTTTGATTGTTGGACCATTTTTGATGCCTATATTTTGTAACCTGAACAACTACTTTTAAGGTAGCAATATGCAATATATTAAACATTGTTAATCTCTTATTATTTACATTTTTTGGTAGGAAGTATAAAGGTAAGAAAACCTCTCTGTGAAGTAGGAGATACTGTCCAGGAAAGAGACGAAAAGAAAATAGCAAGCTCCCAACATCAGCTTTGGAGAATGAGAAAGGCATCTAACTGGAATCAGATGCGAGACTTGTCCAACGGCATTCCCAGCACCACCAGAACTGGAACCCATTAATTCTAGAGACAGCAGTTCATTCATTTGTGCAATGAACACTGACTAAAAGATGCTGTGTAGCTATTTGTCTAATTTTAATACTTCTCAGCAGACAGTAGTTTTACTGTGTCTTTAAATTTTTTGATTTAAGCATTCAAAATCGCCTTCATGAAAGTGTGATTTACATGTTCCAAAGTGTGCATGTTTCAAGTATGCGTGTCAGTACATTTTAATGAGCACATACACTCATGTAGCTACTGCCACAGTGAGGATATAGAATAGTTCCACCTCCCCAGAGTTGTCTTGGGCCTTTCACAATCAATTTCCTCTACCAGGCTCCAGGCACAGGCAAATGCTGATTTGCCTTCTGACCCTAAAGATCACCCTTGTCTTTTCTAGAATTATGACTAGAATTCTAGAATTTTGAATTCTAGAATGATGTCCAGGATTGTCAATGAAGTCATAAGTATACACTCCTCTGGCTCCCTCTGCTCAGTGAAATGTTCTGGAGGTTCAGCATGCTGCTGCTAGGTGTGAGCAGTTCTTTCCTTTCATTCCGTAAGAACGTTCTGCTGTATAGATATACCACAGGTTGTTTACCCATTTGCTTCTTGATGAACATTTGAGTTTTTTCCAGGTTTGGGCCAATATGAATAAAACTGTTGCCAATCTTGATGTATAAGACTTTTGTAGACAAATATTTTCATAGTAGGGAAACATCTATGCACTGATTTGTTTGTTTGTTTTGTGGTACCAGGGATCAAACTGATGACCTCACACTTGCCAGGCAGGCACTTACCCCACTGAGCTAAATCCCCAGCCCTGAATTTTTTACTAATAGATTTCTTTAAAAAGTTTTAGATTTATAGAATTTGAGCTGATGGCACAGAAAGTTCTCATTTTCTCTTTCCTCTACTGTTTCTCCTGTTTTTCACAACTTGCATGATTGTGGTGTATATGTTATAATTCATGAGCCAGTATTAACACATTAATGCTAATCCCAGTCTACTGTTTATTCAGATTTCTTTAATGTTTATGTAATGTCATTTATTTCTTTTCCAGGACCCCATTTGAGTCACCATAAATTTAGTTATCCATTTCTTTTAGCGCCTCTCGGCTGTGACAGCTTCTCTGACTTTTTTCTTTGTGCCTTTTGGTATTTTGGGGCAATGTCTTGCCATGTAGTTCAGACTGGCCTTGAACTACTATGTAGCCCAAGCTGGTGTCACACATGCAGATTCTCCTGCCTCAGCCTTCTGGGTGCTGGGATTACAGTGTGTGCCACACCTGGCAGCTTCTCTGAATTTCTTTATCTTTGATGACCTTGACAGTTTTGAGAAGTACTGGTTAATTATACTGTTAGATTCACTTTTATTGGAATTTGTCTGTTTTTGTTCTTACACCAGAGCTGTATGTCTTTGGAGGAAGATGCCATAGGTAAAACTATATTTGTTTTAAGGCACAAAATATGATTCTTATGTTCCTCCAATCATTCTTTTCTGTGTTGTAATTGTCTCAAGTTATCAATGTAATAATTAGATTGCAATGACCTTGTTCATTTTTGAAGTGAAGCAGAATAAAGGTGACCAGTCAATCGTCACACACCCTCGCAGCTTAAACTTCACCTGGTCGCATCCCTCAATGCAGCTGTCCTGTTTCTCTAGGAATGTGACAGACCAACTGCTCTCTCAGGGCATTTCTCCTATCCTGGTCAGACTTGCAGCCACAAGCAACACCACTCTGGGTGAGTAGGGCTGGCATGTGCTGGGGCTGGGATGGTATCAGACCTAGGTGGCTTCAGTTCCTTGACTGAGAGGGTGGATACTGTAGAGGCCAGTGGCATGGACCATAATAACAGATTTCCAGGATTCGAAGGCTATCCCTGCCCATTGCTATTCTTTTTTTAAATCACTTTATTGAGTTATGATTGACATAGAAATTGCACATATTTAATATATACAACTTGATGAGTCTGATGTTAAGTGTACATCTGTAAAATCACCATCTTTACTATACTATACACTATACATTTATAAACAGCACTATAAACTTATCCACGACTCACCTGCAGGTAGTTTTAAACTGCAATGTGATAGGGCTGATAAATAGACCAAGAGTAACTCTAGTTTAAGATTCTAATAGAGACTAAGGAGTTCAGTTCTGTTTTGAAGATATACTGCTGTGCAGATCATTGTAAATTAGGTTACATCAGTTGTCTAAACTAGATATTACGATATTTGGGGGCAGTAAACTTTCCATTATCTGCAAGAATGCTGCACACTGCACAGGTAACTGGTAGACATTTCATACTACATATGTATAGAAGTATATGCTTCCTTACACTACTGTGGTTATAAGATATTTTACATTCAATATTTGCTGAATATTTTTAAATGTCTGTTAAGGGGGAAGGAGAAAAGTAAGAAAGGAAAAGATGATATATATATGTTGGTAAACCTATATAAATGTATGCATGTATATCTAAGCAAGATATACTACTTATCTCTGTCAGTTTATCAAAAAGAACAGTTTGTGCTGTCATGGTTTGATTATTTTTGTGCCTAGATATTGTAACCCGAACAACTAATTCTAAGGGAACAATATGCAATATATTAACTAGTGTTAATTTCCTACTGTCTTTTTAAAATTTGGTATCATTTCTACACTTTTTTTCTGGTTTGCTTTTTAAAACAAAATACCTGTTATCTCTGAAAGTTTCCTCTTGCCCTATTTATTTGTTATTGTTTACATAGGATTAAAATACTTAACACAAGATTTGTCCTCTTAGCAAAATTTTAAATATGTAATTCAGTGTTTTGTGCTGTGTAGTTGTCTGCCGGGTTCCCTGTATATCTTGTACAACTGAAAGTTTGTGTTCCTTCACCAACATCTCCCTATTTCCCCTTCATCTCACCGCTTAGCAATCATTATTCCACTCTCTGGTCCTGGGAGTCTATTTTACATTCCTCCTGTGGTACTTGTCCTTTAGCTTATTTCCTGTAGCATAATGTCCTCGAGGCTCATTCATATTGTTGAAGGGGAGCGTTTAAAGCTGTTACTTTTCTAGCTACTTTTAATGAATAATTGACGAATAAAATTGTATAATTTAAGGTATACAATGTGATATGGTATGTGTATATGTCATGAAAGAATTACTACAATTAAATTAGTGAGCACACTCATTGCCTCACACACTTGCCTCATTTTTGTGTCCTCGGGTGTGTGTGTGTTTGATTGATAGAGACTCTTAACCTATCAGCTCTTAGCAAATTTCAAGTATACAACTGTAGTCTCCAGGGTGTGCCTTAGATCTCCAGAACTTATTTCTTTTATAATCCAAAGTTCGTAAGTTTTGGCTGTTTCCCCCTCATCTCAAATGCCTGGAAACCACTGTTCTATTCTGCTTCTGAGTTGAGTTTTTAGATGTTACTTATAAGGGCATCATGCAGTATCTGTCTTTGTCTGGCTTCTTTTACTTAATGTAATGTTACCATGCTCCACAAATGGCAAGGTTTCCTTTCCTAAGAGTGAAAAACAAGGGCCAGGGATTGAGCTCAGCGGCATAAGCACCTGCCTGGTGAGGCTGTGAGTTCAGTTCCCGGTACTAAAACAAAAGTGGATAACACTCCATTTTGTAATATGTGACATTTTCTCTCTCCATTCTTTCATTGAAGGACACTCCGTTGTTCCTTGTCTTGGCTGTTGTGAATAATGATTCAAGAATATGGCAGTGTAGATAGTATCTCTTTAAGATCCTGGTTTCAATTAATTTGAGCATAACTCAAAAATTGGGATTGCTGCATCATAATAGTATTCTACTTGTATTTTTTAAGTGTTTGTGGCACTAGGGATTGAATTCAGGGTCTTGTGCATGCTAGGCAAGCACTGTACCACTGAGCTACGCCCCCAGCACCCACCTGTAGTTGTTTGAGAAACTTCCCATCATTTTTTTAATTTTAAATTTTTGTTAGCACCCACATGCAATATATAAGGACTACATCCCTTGTGTGGACTCAGTCCACATACATAACACATTTTAAATATTTTTCCGGCTCCTTCTCTTTGTCTCCCCTCCCCTCCCACTCCTCTTCTCTTGCCCTCTCTTCGTCTCTTGATCCCCTCAACATCTGTTTCAAAATTTTATTTTAAAGAGAAAAACTCCCCAAATTTGAAAAACAAGATAATAGGAGCGTAACAATGGTTAATATATTACATGTATTACTAGATGCAGGAATTTAATTATCCAAACAATATTAGCACAAACCTTTCCTTCTCAACGAATTAAGAGAAATTAGTAGTATAACTCTCTTCCCCTCACTATTTTTGATCATGGGCAAATTACTTAGCGTTTGGTGTCCCAGCATCCTCACTTGTAAGTGGAGGTCACAACACTTCTCCGTAGGTCTCATAAAAGACTAAATGAAATACAGTGTGCAAAGCACGTGGAAGAGAAGACTATCTGACATGTTGTTAGAGGCTAATGTTGGCTCCCTTTGGCTTCCTGGATATGTTTTAAACAATTCTTCTTTGTGAACTCATGAAGGAAATAAATACTGGAACATTAAGTAGCTTCCCAACTCATCTCCTGCTCCCAAGTCCTGTCTTCAAGGTTTCTGTAGATGGGAAAGAAGACTCTGAATTTGAAAACCTCCTTTCTTCCAAAGACCCCTATTGCCTCAGTTTGAGTTCTTATGCTCACGCACTTCTGGTTGGTTTCCTTTTATGAACCTAACAAACAAGGTCCTCCTGCACGGTATTGGCCCAGTCCATGTATCCAAGCAAAGGAACAGGAAGCTGGGTAAGTGGCACTGGGACTTGAAGAAAGGGCAGCACTCATTTCATGACTAAACAGTCTCATGTACCCAGTGATTGCTCTGTTGCAGTTGTGCGTCCTGAACAGCCGTGCTACCCTGGGATCCCAACCCCAAAGCCCTCTGGCTTCTACCATGGAAATGTCTGGTACTCCCTGCCTGCTCCAGCTGCTCCTTGCCCATAGGGGACAGCATCGTGGGCTGCCTAGCTGGCCGCATCGTTCATAAGATGGGGGACTCCACGCTTTGGCTGTGGTGGGAGTATCTGCGTGATACCGTGCCCTGTGAGTACTGCGAGTATTCCAGTCCCCACCAGAACAACTCAGAGAGCAAGAGGAGAGCTAGGGCTGAAAGAAGGCAGAAAATTACATTCATGGGGCAGAACTGGCTTTCATGAGAGTGACAGGATTTGGAGCAGGGAGAGGCTGGGAAACAAGGTACTCAGAGTCCTCATCATCTCAGCCATGAAGTGTCAGATTAGGGAGCTCGTAATGATGAGATGGCAGGTGTGTATACAACTGTGGCTGGAACTGAAGATTTGTTGGGGGATACTGGAGATACAGAGTTGGAATTTAAGGGAAAATGTAGAGAAATCAAGATTTGAAGGTTAATGTTTAAAGCAGCATTTTCTTGTTTGGGGGCAGATTGCAGAGAAAGAGAGGAAGAAAGAGAAAGGACAATGGTAAGGTGAGGCTACACTGGCAAAGAAATAGTGTCCACAGTGAAGGAAGATGCTGGAGAAAGCAACGGTGACTGCTGACTGATTGGTCTGGAGTGAAAGGAGGTGACTGAGTGACGCTGCACAACCATAAAGTGGGCTCAGAATGATGTCCCTGGGGTACTGGGATTGCAGCATGGCAAAGGAGTGCATGAAGACAGTGTATCTACATCACATTTCCTCCCAGCGGATTGAAGAGGTGGGAGAGGGCTTCTCAGTGAACCAGTGGAGGAGGTATTTGAGGACATGGGACTGAAGTGGAAATGAGATGGTTGAGCTTCAGACAGAATTTTGATATTTATTCTTTTGAGAACAAAAGATATAGTGGCAAGAGTGTCCTACAAACTGAGTGTCACCTGAGTTTCTACCTCTCATAAACCAGAGTCTAGAGCCAATCTCACAATATGACAGGGCATGGATTAAAGGATAGGTCTTATCACTAAAAGAGCTAACCTGAGAGCTGAGGAAGAGAAAGACAAGAAAGCATATGAGCACTCAACTCCCTTCTCTGTCCTCCCATCACAGGAAAGGAAAGATATCTTAAAAATAATAAGGAATCAGGAAATTACAGCTCAACAGCTGTAAGATGACTCCACGAAAAACAACATAGGATTGATAGGGATAAATGAAAAAGAAGGGGACAACACAAATGATATCAGAAGTAACTGCTAAAAATTTCCCACACATAGAGAATGGAAACTTACATTAGGATTAGTAAAGCATATAGAACTCCAAATAGCCATAACCAAAATAAAAATACACCGAGATATATAATAATCACCATCCCAGGAATCCAACATAAAAATAGAATATTAAAAGTTGTTAGAGAGAAGAGACAGATCGCCTATAAAGGAAAGCCTATGGGGATGACAGCAGACTTCTCAACACAAAAAATGAAGTCAAGGAGAGCATGGAGTGAAGTATTTCAGATCCTAAAGGAGAATGATTTCCAACCTAGACTGATGTACTCTGCAAAACTGTCCTTAAAAGTGGATGGAGAAATAAGATACTTCCATGACAAAGAACAGCTGAAGAACTTCATGATCACCAAGCCAACCCTGGAAAGTATACTGAGAGACAGATTAGATACACATAGGAAAAAACCACTGAGCAAGGCAGACAGTTAAACAGAACGGAAAGATAAAGATGCAACAACAGAAAGATAACACGTCAACAATAAAACAATATGTAACAGTTATAACCATTAATGTAAATGGTCTCAATTCAACAATTAAAAGGAACAGACTGGCAGAATGGATCAAGAAACAACATCTAACCATATGCTATCTACAAGAAACCCATCTAACTCAAAAGAAAACTCACAGACTGAAAGTCAAATGATGGAAAACAATACTACATGCACCAGGAACCCCCCGCCCCCAGAAAAAAAAAAACCTTGGGAAGAGCTCTTCTGTTTGCAGACAATGTAAACATCAAACCAACAATGATCCTAATAGATAAAGAAAGTCACTAATAACTAGATAAGGGAAAATTTCAAGAGGAAGAGATAACAGTCTTATACATATATGCACCAAATTTCTGAGCACCCAGTTGTACAAAGCAAGTATTAACAGAAATGAAAAATCAAATTAGCAATAACACTATTATAACAGGAGGCATTAACACACCATGGACCCCATAAGAAAAGGTCAACCAGACAAAAAAAACCAGCAAAAAACTAACAGAACTCAATCAGAGTTGTGAACAAATGGACTTGATAGACATATACAGAGTGTTCCACCCAACAACATCAGAATATACATTCTTCTCAGCAGTACATGGGACATTCTCTAAAAAAGACCATTTACTAGCCCACAGTACATATTTAAATAAATGCAAAAGAGTTGAAATTATCCCATATATTTTATCAGATCATAGCACCATGAAACTAGAAACTAATGATAAAAGAAATGGCAAACACAAACAAACACATGAAAATTGAATAACACAGTCTGAGCAATCAGTAAATTACAGGGGAAATTAAAGAAGAAATTAAGCAATACCTACAAGTAAACAAAAATACAAATACAACTTGCCAAAATCTGTGGGATTCAATGAAAGCAGTCCTCAGAGGAAAATTTATTGCAATGAGTTCCCATATCAGAAAAACAGAACAAACACAAATGAACAACTGATGCTATACCTCAAACATCTAGAAAAAGTGAGCAAGTCAAGGCCAAAACCAAAAGGAGGGAGGAAATTATAAAAATGAGAGCAGAAATCAATGCAATGGAGACTAAGAAAACAATCCAAAGAATCAACGAATCAAAGACTTGGTTCTTTGAAAGAATAAATAAAGTTGATAAGCCCCTAGCCAATCTAATTTTAAAAAGGAAAGAGAAAGCTTAAATTCATGTAATAGGGAATGAAAAAGGTGAAATCACTACAGACTCTGTGGAAATACAGAAGATCATCAACACCTATTTCAAAAACCTCTACTCTCATAGGTATGATAACACAGAAGAAATGGACAGATTCCTAGAAACATATGAAGCACCAAAGCTGGGTCAAGAAGATGCTAAACTGCTGAATATCCTAATTTCTATTAATGAAATGGAAAACGTAATTAAGGCTTTATCTACAAAGAACAGCCCATGCCCAGACAGATTCACTGCAGAATTCCACAAGAAATACAATGAAGAGTTAATGCCAATACTCCTTAAAATTTTTCAATGAAATTGAAAGGGAAGCAATTCTTCCTAAGTCATTCCTGGAAGCAAATATTACTCTAGTACCAAAACATGACCAAAATAAATCAAACTCACATGTATAAATACTGTAGAGTCTCCCTAATGTAAGAAATGGTAAGAGTACATAAGAGTTGGTGGGAATCATGATTCCCTATTACATTGCTTTGAAGCCTTATAATGATTGCATTCATTAATTGGAATGGGTTTATTGTAGGGAGCAGTGCGACCGCCCCATTGCTGCCTCCCCGCCTCTCTCCTATGGGCATATGATGCACCTGCCTACATTAACCACAATCCTCTCCTGCTTATACCCGGACATGACAATGACCCTGTTGTATTCATCCCCATAGCCTCTTCCTGTCCCACCAACCCGCCCTTGGCCCATAAAGGATGCGACCACTTCCTGAATAAATGAGGCTTGATTGGATTCTCTCGACTTGCTTCAATCTCTCTTTGTCTCCGCTCTGTTTCTATTCATCCCCATTCCCCCTCCAGGTACACCCCATGGTTTGATCCGCAGGCTGGATCAGTTTATCCTGTTTTGTTTGATTTTATTATCTGTGACGGTTGAACAGCTATTTTGAAGAAAACAAGTCATTATAATAGCCACTGCTGATCTAATATCATCTTACTCTGAAGTTCGACCATGCTTTTGCTCTTCTGTTTCCATTGGTTCTATCATATTATATCTTTTTGGGTTGTATGATGTGTGATAGTATAAACAAATTTTCTATGGAAAATGAGAGAATATAGTAGCCATAGTTGGTTTTCTGTTATTTGTTTCTGAAAGTTCTGTAATACTTTCATTCTCTTTAATGGTTTTATACTATTTTGTTACATTTCATACTATTGTATATGAAATTATGCTCAACTACTTCAAAGAAAGAGACATTATGGTAGTTACTGATACTTACAGGTTGTCTTCTGGTGAAATACTGTATTACTTACATTGTTCCTTTCTGATCTGGTTTGCTATGTCCTGTTTTGTCTTAATCTCTACAAAATAAAAAAAAGAAAAATGAGTAACCTGGTAGAATCACTTTGCACCAATTCTGCTCAAGGACTGGATTAGATTCTCAAGAAAGAGATGTTTCTAAAGATAAACTTAGAAGCCCAGGACAGTAGCTTGGCAAAACCAGAGCCTCCCAGCATGATATGGAGCCTTGCTGTGAATCAAAAACATTCCTCTTGGGGCCAACATTATCTTGTAACATATGGGAGGGCCTGCATGCAGCAACTCTGTGCAAAGAGGGGTCCTCATCTAGTGTGTGAGAGAAAAGGCCGGAACTCAGGTGCCAAGCTGGCCACCATGGCACAAGAACACAAACTTGCTGATGAGTTTCTAGCTTGGATGTATCCCATCCAGTGGGTGACTGAAGGAAGCCAATGGGTGAACCTAAGTTGGATGGCTCAGTCAGCAGACTGCAAAGAGTAACAACTAAGAAAGGAGAGTTTCTACAGCACTATCAATGAGACAAAATGCTAGCGGCTGGGAGGCTGAGGACCAAGAGAAAGCCTTCTCACTGTGGATCCAGGAGGTGACGGACAATATCCTAGATTAGGAAGAGGATCTGCTGGCCACAGTATATCCATGTGCTAACAAAGAGATGCTAGAGCATTTGAAATTTTAATTGAGGAAATATTACTTACTATTAACTCTGGATCCCCATTCTCATCTCCAAACAGCCCTGAAGCCTGTGGATCTCCATGCCACATATCACTCGGGGCCACTGATGGCCATGGACATGACTTGGGGCATAGTGCTGCACTGGCGGGCCCACAGCTGGCCCCTGGACACTCTCCGCACACCATTGGCCTCCCTGCACTCAGCGGTCAGGTAGCTGACAGGCCTCGCCGGGAGTCCACACACCGTGGTTGTGCTGGGCTTGGGACCCCACTTTACCACCTTCTACCCCTCCATCTTTGTGCGATGGCAGGGAGGGATTCGGGCAGCTGTGATGGCCCTGCTGGCCCAGGCACCCAGTACTCTTGTGGTCATCAAACTGGCCAGTACTGGCTACAAGTCTGTGTGGGCAGTCACTGGCTCACCCTACATGTGAACCGGCTCCTTCGAGCTGCCATTTCTAATCTCCGTGTGGCCTTTGTGGATGCCTGGCAAATGACCTCCAGCCTGGCCCTACCAGACAACATCCACCCAGTGAAGCTCATTGTCAGCAATGAGGTGGACCTACTCCTCTCCTTCATCTGTCCCACCTAACCACTCTGGGTGCCCTGGAACTGTTATCACAGCGTGCCTAGGGCCTGCCCACAGGGCCTTTGAAGAGGAAAGGTAGAACAACCAACTCACAGTGAGGGTGAAGAGTGACTCAGGGCTTACGACCTGGATAAATTCTCAACATTTGGGTGACCATCTTTTCCTCTACCTGTCTTGCACTACACTGATAAGTGCGTAATTTTTTATTTAAATGAGGGCACACATTATATGCATTCTTTTAAATTCCCTTCTTTCTTTTTACAACTTTGTTCATAGGCACTTGGCTCCTATAGTCAAGAGAGAAGGAAGCCTGGTTATTGTAAACCAAATATTGCATATTGTAATCCAAATATTATAATCTCTTTTCTCATCTTCTTCACAGCTCAAGGAAGTGTATGCTTGTAATTTCAATGAAATGTTATTGGAATTCTGTCAAGTTAATACCAATATACCATCTCCAGGGAAAGCCATGGTGAGATTAGACATTAAGACATACATCTGTCAGTTATGGGCAGCCAAAAGATCCTGAGTTCAGTCCAGGTGAGCATACATGGAACAAAGGCCTTGATCCAAAGCCTTTCACAAAATTTATTTTCTCATCAAGAAAAGAGTGGCTCAAGAATGAGTGAGATTCAGGAATTATGTGAGAAATGTAAGCTGAACTGACCAGGCAAGTGCCTCTGCAGTACATAGGGAAAAGTATGCAGAAAGACGGATCTGCAGAATTCGACTGAGGTAGCATTTGGATGATTTAGGAAACTGTTGCTTCATTTTCTGATATGTAAGCTTTTGTGACCTGGGAAGTCCTATCTTCTTATCTTGTGGTTCCAACCCAGTCGACATTCCTGGAACGATATGGCTCTGCCATCCTGCTGTGCTCAACCATTTATAGGGAAACCTGTGAGGAAACAGGAAACTCTGCGCTGCTTCAAGCATTACCAATCACAACCTTAGCTAGCCTTATTTGCATTGCTGAGAGCCAATTGAAGGGAGAAGGTGATAGCACAACTGGCTCTGCACATATCAGTGCATGGAAACAGGTTTGCTAATGCTATTGTTGTGCCTTAAATGGGAGTTACCCACGTCATCTCCTACACCTGGCTACTGCTCCAGCTGGCAGCAAACCTTGGCATCATCCAAATGGTGCTGTTTTTAGGCACATACAGAATTCAAGAGCTGTGGGGTCAGGAAGGCTTTGAATAGGAGCCAGCCACTGTGCCCCTGAGAGGGAAGTATGTAAAGCTGTGAGTGTGAAATCAAAGGTGCAGTGGAGACCCCGGAAGTGTGGAGATATCAAGAATGTGTATTATCTGAGGAAAACTGCAAGAAGACACCACAGCCAACCCAAGACAGCAGCGACAGGAGCTATAATTAGCAGAAGTACTGTAGCAGTGGAGCCACCCAAACACTTTGGAGTTCACATCTGGCCACAGATCACCTCTGATCCTGCACATGGAACTCCAGGATTTAATGCTTGCCCTGTTGGAAGTTGGACTTGCTTTGGCTCCATTGCTTTGTATCTGTGTTTATAATTTTATGTATAGAAATATTATCCTGTGTCATTGAATGTTGAAAATGTTTAACTTTCTTTTCATTTGTACAGGGATTTGCAGGTAAGAATTTGCTTTAAAGATCAGATAAGAATTTGGACTTGGACCTTTCAACAATGCTGAAATGATTCAGACTTTGGCAGTCAAAGAGTTTTGGCCCAGACAGGACACTGTAGCCAGGAAAACCTCAACGGGAGCCAGGAAGCCCCTATCTCCCCTGCTCCTAGGAATTTATCTGTGAGGCCTTCTTCCCCGCACCTGGGAATTTGCCTATGGTGCCAAACCTAGGACCAATGGGCTACCCGTGCATCCCTGATGCCCCCTTAGGTTCCACCCCAAACCGAGGCTACTTACATACACCTCATGCCACATATCTGCTGGAGAGATCACCGGACTCCAGCGGTGGGGGGTGCCGGTCATCTCTCTCCCTGTTCTCAGAATAAAGGCCGCCTTTTGTTTTATACTTTTCATCTTTTGGAAATAATCCTATCAGGCAGATCTTGGAGATGGATTAAATGCCCTTTTGCATAAAAGAATACGCATGAGTCTTTGGAAAGCCGGATGCAGAATGCTATGGCTTATATTTAGATGCCCTTCTCAAAGCCTCACATGGTTGTAGGTGGGGCTCTTTCAGAAGTAGCTGAATCTAGAGTGCATGACTCTGAGATTGATTCACGGTTTATGCTAGGCTCCGGGCACTAAGTGTGCTATCTGCCCTAAGTAGTTTAGATAAAATATAAAGGACATAATGACATTGTCAAAGTCCCTTTCTTGCTTTTGGTATTTTGTGGTCACCAGGAACTATTCTCTGTGATGGTCTTCAGCAAAGCCATCCTGCCTTGGAGCCAACCTATTATGGGCTGAAACCTCTGCGAGCTAAGTCAACATTTCCTCTTCTAACTTTGGGTGTTAGTATTTTGTGTCAGCAACCAAAAAAGGAACTAAGACATACCATGAATGAGCTTAAAGAAAGGGACCAAGTAGAAAGGACGTAGGCTATGCATGTTTATTATAAAATCATGTGGACTTCGGAGGGCATGGCTGAAAGGTGGGAAATACTGATAACGGCTTGCGCTGCCCCTTTTTATCCAGGAAAAAAGAGTTTTCAGGATCACTAAACCATTTCAAAGTTCAGTTAAAAGTACACACTTTGATCATCATTTTGACAAACTTTTATTCTATTTTCCAGTTTGGTTCCTCCAACGCTTATTTTTCTGCCTTAGGTGATGAGTGCCTGTAATCCCACTACCATGGAATTCTGTGGCAGGAAAACCACAGATTTGAGCCAAGTTTGGGCAATTTTGTGACTTAGTGAGACCCTGCCTCAAAATTAAAAATTAATAAATACAAAATATAAAACACTTGTGAAAGTACTAATTCCTCAGATGTGTAAACCAGGCTTATTACAGAAATCCAGTTGCATGCCACAAGGAAACCTGTCTGTTTACAGGAGTGTGTGTTTGTTCCAAAGGTCACATCTGAGACTTTAGGATTCTGGTAGAAAATCAGGACTTGAAAGAGTAAATTCTGAGGATGGCTGAGAGACAGAGGGCTGCAACAGACTGCATAGTATTGAAAGAACATGTACATATGACACATGACGACGTTTACGGAAGTGGGAACTTTTCCACAGTAAACACCATCCTGTATGATGGGCGAGTCTGTTAATTTGTGTTACTTTATGGTTTAACCTGGATCCTTGGTTCATTCTGATCGCACAAGAAGAAACCAGATAGCATGGATCTGTTTACAGGACAATCCAAGTACCGCAAGATTTTGACTGTGGGATTGTCCATTTTAGTTTGGGTGAGTATTTCCCTTGCCTGTACTGTCTCTTATTGCTGGCTCCTCTTTTTTCTCCCTGTGCAAACTCAGATATGGTTGAATTAAGAGCTTTTACCTAGTAAAGGGGATTACAGAAGCCCTTTGTCTTCTTATGACCAATCTTTTGTGATTTCAGGAACAAGGTCTGCAGGATGGGGTATGAGCTGCAGGAGGAGGCTGAGCAAGCTGACAGTTGAGGTCGATTTGGACTCTAAAATTTAACTTCAAAAGAGGTTGTTCTCAGGAAATTCTAGTGGTGAGAAAAAAATAAGCAACTTACATTGTTCTTTACTCTCATCTTTGAAAAATGTTTTCTGTCTTAGTATAAAAGAAAAAGTCTGTAGTGTAGGAGTCTGTAGTGTACAGCTGTGCTTTGTACAGACCAAAAAAAGTGGCAGGAAATCAAGAGAGGAAAAAAACCCTCCAATATGTAGAAAGTGAGCAGGTGACTACACTGACTGAGACTTTTTTAAAAGAACAACAGAAAGCCAGTAAGTGTTCAGGAAATGGCACTTTCTTGCCTGTTTTGCAAGCAAAAAGAAAATTTCAGCAATAGATACTCCATGGACCTCTTACAGTTATTATTTAAACAGTAGGGGTTTTGTATGGAAATAGTAATATTTCTACTCTTCTTTTAAAAAGTAGGTGATCTGGACTATGGTTTCATAAACTGGCCTTTATTCTAAGAGCACTGAGTTTAATAGGAAATCTGAACTCCTTAACAAGCAGGTCTAAAGAAAACTTAATTTTCTGAAGAAGACAAACTGACAGCTACGGACAGAAAAAGAGCTTAACAGAAATGAGGCAGAGAAGATTGGATGATAGGAACAGCTATTTTGGAGAAAATGACATCTTAATAGGTAATACAGATTTAGTATCATCTTGTTTTGAAGTCTCATCTAGCTTTTGTCCTTCTGTCTCCAATGGTCTAAATAGGCTGTATCTTATTGGATTTTATTATGTACGATAGTATAAGCAAAAACCTGTTAAAGACAAGGAGATTATACAGAAACCATTGTTCATTTTGTTAGTCGATTCTAAATACTCTGTAATGCTGTCATTCTCTCGAATGGTTTTACATTGTTTTGATATACTTAATGCTACAGTATACGAAGTTGTACTCAAGGATTTCAAAGAAAGAAACAATATGGTAACTACTTTTAGGTTAGGATTATCTGGTGGTGAAACACTATTCTGCTTAAATGGTTATGTTTTGATCTGCGCTGTTTCGTTGTTATGCCCTCTTTTATCTCAATCTCCACTCCATTATTTACTTTTTTTATCTTTATCCTTTTAATTAAAGGAAAAAAAATAGCAGGATATATTATAGTAACCCACTTTGACTTTTCATTACCTTGATTTAAAGCCCTGTATTACTCTCACCATCTGGTTTTTAACTGATGTTCCCCTATTCTGTTTTGCTGGATAGTATCAGGTTCGAAAGTTTAGGCATCAGCTGTGAAGATAATGAGATTCATTATGACGCCCATTCTTGTTGACTTTTATCTACTTTTGAAGACCTACAATGTCTCCAATGTTTTGATTTTGTCGGTTTTATTCTTTACTGTTTTGTTCAATTGTATTTTAACTAATGATACAGGCAATTCTATTAGAGATAGCGGGAGGCATTATGGTAACCATTGTTGATCACCTTGTATTATGTTTTTACATTATCTATTATATCCACCCTTTTGACTTGACCGATTCTGTTCTGTTATGTCACATTTGGTTTTACTCTCTTCCAAAAAAGTAATAAGAACCGTGGGAGCAATGAAACCCAAAATGTGTAATAGTCATGGTACAAAAGAGAGGAAAAGAAAGTGCTCCAAACTATATAACTGCAGGTATATTTAAGTGTATAAGATAGAAAATGATATCACAGAGTTTTATTGGATCAATGAACAGAACTGTTTGCAGTATCATTGATGGAATGTCCACTTTACAAGCTTTAATTTTGTGACTTGAACAATTATTTCTAAGATGACAATATGTAATCCATTAACTAGTGATTTCCTACTGTTCATTTTTTTCTGTAAATCTGTATAACTTCTACCCTTTCCCTGCTTTTTTTTTCTTTTCTCCTTAAATAAAATTTAAAAAAAAAAAAAGAAAACTTAATTTTCATTTCCAGGATATCTTTCTATTGTGTGAGAGGGGGAGATTTATTTCTGTAGCAGCTGAAACTTTCCACTGTTTAAAAGCAGTTCAACTACAACACACATAAAAATTACATAGTTTTAAGTGCTCAATACAAATTACATCTATGTGATCACAATCCAAATCCAGAATTAGAAACTGCCATCACCCGTGGAAGCCTCCTCATGGCCTCCATTCCTGTCACTACCACCCTCTTGGTCAGATCCAGCACCTTGACTTTGGACATTGTTGATTAATTAACTAATTAATTCATTTTTGGTACTCGAATCAAACTCAGGACCTGGAGCTTGCCAGAGAGGCACTTATGCCACTGAGCTGTATCCCCAGCCCCTTTTTGTCTGTTTTTTCATCTCACAGAATAATATTCACACACCATCTACTTGAAGTATAAAATATTTTTGCAACATTAATTCATGTTATTATGTGAAGATGTAATTTGTTAATTTTTATTTCATGATGGTATTTTAGCATATGAAAATATCAAATTTACTTACGCATTCTGCTATTAATGGAGATGTTTGTTGTTTTCTGTTTCAGGCTTAGATATTCCTACTCTAAACAGGCTAACCTTTCTGTTGGGGCTACTATATATTATACTTTTGAGCTAAATTGCTTGGGCCTATGGTACCTATATGTTAAGCTTAAGTAGATCCTGAGAGTTTGTCAAGTAATTTTTCAGATTTGTTCACCTCTTCACACAATATGAGAGGTTCCCATCTCTGCCAACACTGTAATTGTCATTTAATTTTGTCTTTTCTTGGAATATGTAGAGTTATTCCATTAGGATTTTAACTTGCATTTATTTTCTTACTAATTCAGTTGAATAGCTATCTATATATTTATGGATCTTCCTCCTTTCAGGTGAAATGCTCGCCACTTTCTGTGTACTTTCAATTGGGTGGCCTGTATTTTCTTATCAATTTGTAGAAATTCTTCATAAATTTTAGATGTGAGCTCTTTCATTTGTTATGCATGTGTGCTATAAATATCTTTCCTAACTTTCTATTTTGTTTTTTATTGTCTGGATACTGGCCTTCAGTGAAAGATAATTATGCATTTAATTCTAGTCTAGACCAATTTATCCATCTTTTACTTTACTGTTAGTACCCTTGTATTTTGTTTAAGAAATCTCCCTCATTTCCAAGCATGGAAATACTTTTTTGTTATTTTCTAGGAGATTTTGACTTACAACATACCCTGAATTGACTGTTGCTGGTGTTACAAGGTTGTGATCCAGGTTTTTTTTCTTAATAAGGATATTCAGTTGTTCTAACACTACTTATGGGAACAAAAAATTCCTATCCTATTTTGCAGTGCCACTTTTGCATCTGATGAACTGTCTCTAAAGTGAGGCTCTATTTCTAAGTGCCGTATTTTGCTCCAGGGAAGTATTTGTTTATTCTTATACCAATACCTTTTCATCTTAATGACTTTAGGCCTGTTAAATAAATCCTCACCTCATGTTTTTAAGACTGTCTTGTCTTGTTTCAAAAGCTTTGCATTTATATATAAATTTAGAGTTAGCCTCTCTTTTATACACACAGATACAAAACATGAGATTTTGATGAGAATTGTGTTGAACATACAAGAAAATTTTAGTAGCATTTACAGCTTTGCAGTATGGATTCTCCAACCCATAAACCCAATACTTAGGTAGACTTTCACACAATTTCTTGCCCCTCCTTAGCTTTTTTTTTGTTATAGTACTACTACTTTCAAGCCTTTATGATCTTCTATTATGCAAAATGTTTGCTGGCTGTCTCCACTGTCAGTAAGATTTTGAAATTCGTGGGACTACAAGTCTGTTTAAGTTGATTCTACTGCTCTCCAGCATGGCAGAAAATGTCAACAACTGTTTTCTAGCTTCCTGAACAAAAAACACAAGTTTGTCTGGGACAAAATTACAACAAATTAAGTTATAGATCGAACTGGATTCCATTTGTAATCATGATTTAGGGCAGCCTCCATTCTGAAAAACATAAGGTGAGCTCCCACTGGGCAATGGCAGAATTACGAGTTTTATAAGGTGGAAATGAGGAAATAGAAAAACAGAATAAAAAATTGGTTCATATCAGGTTATTTTAGGATTCTTTCTTTTAAAGACCAACAACTTTTCATTTTGACTTTGGAAGACTGGTAGACTGAAATCTGGAATAATCAGTTTAGTTTTCTTGACATTGTAAATCTATCAATATTTTCCTGATGATGAGTAAATTTTGATGATTATCAAAGAAATACTTCCCTACAATGGGTCAGGATATTATCCTACACTGTATTTCTTTCTTTTTGTTTTCTTTTGTTTTGTTTGTCTTTTTTGAGGCAGGGTCTCGCTATGCAGTTCAGGCAGGCCTGGAGCTCAATTTGTAGCACAGGCTAGTCTCAAACTTGCAATAATCTTTGTGCCTCAGCTTCTCAAGTGCTGGGATTACAGCGTACAGCACCACATCTGGTTTCCTATGCAGTGTTTTAAAGCACTCATGATTACATTTGTAGTTTAATAATTCAGGATAACTTCCTACCATAAAATAATCTACTTATATGAGTATAAAAGTCCCTTTTGCCATGTGAAGTTACATATTCACAAGATCCAAAGCTTACCACCTGGACATCTTGGAAAGCCAACATTCAGCTTACCAAAGTGACCAAAGCCATAATCCTGTGGACGTATGATCTGTGAATTTGGACTCCTCTTTTGTTCATACTGCCGAACTATAGGTGCACCTCACCCTCATAGAAGAGGCCTCTATCTTGACTTTTGAGAAGTAAAGTTTTATTAGCTCCTGTGACTTTCCTGTAAGATTGGGTTTCAGGGTCGTATTTTTGTATGTGATCACATGCGTCCTGTGTCTCCTTTCTTACTCTTTCTCCTTATTTCCTTCTTGTTGTCTAATAATCTCTGTTCTACTTTTGTGACATTATTTTTGTTTTGTTTTATTTTGAGATTCCATATAACAGGAAAAGGACAGGTATTAGCTTTTCTGACTTTGGCTCTTTTGTTCTATGATGATCTCTAGCTCCATCCATTTTCCTGCAAATGTCACACGAAATTCAGTCTTCCTTATGACCGAATAACACTTCATTGTGTATATATATCATATTTTCTTTATCCATTCATCTGTTGATAGGCACCTATGCTGGTTCCAGATCTTGGCTATTGTAAACTGTGCCACAGTGAACAAGGATTCGCAGGAGTTCCCCCTACTACACTGACTGGAATCCCTTTGGATGTACACTGAGTGGTGGTATAGGTAGATCATATGGTAGTTATAGTTTTAGGCTTTTTTTTTGAGGAACCTCCATACTTACTTCCACAGTGGTTGTACTAATTTATATTCTAACCAGTGTCCCTCTCTCCCATCTTCACCAGCTCTTACTGGTTTTTGTTTGTTTGTTTTGTATTCTTGATTATTCTGACTGAGATGATGAAATCTCAGTGTAGTTTTGATCTGCAATTTCCTAACGTTTAAAGATGTTGATCATTGGGCTGGGGATTTAGCTCAGCAGGCATAAGTGCCTGCCTGGGAAGCACATGGTGATGAGTTCAATTCATAGTACCAGAAAAAAAAAAGATGTTGATCATTTTCCCCTACATTTATTGACCATCTATACTACTCCTTTTGATAGGTGTCTGTTTTTGCATTGATCAGGATATTTGCTTTCTTGGTGCTTTTTGGGTTCTTTTTTTTTTGAGCTCTTATATGTT